CAAAGGGCCCTATCCAGCCGCTCCCGAACGCAAGCATTACCCATTCTACGGTTAGTTCAAGTAAAAGGGTCATCCAGAAAGCCGGGATCATGCAGGCCCAGGTCCTGGATAAAATCACGCAGACTGATCGAGTGATTAGCATTCCATGGGTTTCCACCATCTTTTTCGCTCATATGAAGGGTCGTATTGAAATCGCCAATGACCACATAAGGAAGTGTAATAGAAGAGCAAAATTCACGAAGGTGGGCCAACTGGCCAGCACGAATATCAGAACGACAGCTAATATAAACACAAATCACAATATAAGAAAAATTGACTTCATTAATCTTGGAGCAAATACAGAAATTGGAATGATAAATCACCGAAGCATCAACTCCGGGGGACCAAGCTATAACTAACCCACCAGACGCATCAATAGCATTCACAAAAAAACATTGGGAAACATCAAAACCTAAACCCCGCATACGACGGGAAACAACACGCCGACTCGATCGTGTTTCAGAGAAAAACACGAGATCTGGCTTATTCGAACGAACTAAACCTACAGCAGATTGGAACGTGAGGGATGGTCCAATTCCTCTCACATTCCAGGCGAGGAGCTTCATTTAGCAAGCTGGGGCCACTCCAGGCTGGCTTCCTCCACCTTCTCATTCTTATCAGTTATCTCCACAAATTGCTTCTTGGGGGTAGGCGGGACACCCACCTCTCCCTCCACATCCTCTAGGGACCTCTTCAGAATCCCCAGAGGCGGGGTTATCATATTAGATCCATATTCATCTAGAACCCCAGTCTCCAGACCGGCAAGGTCCTTATTCCCCGTACCAGTAAGAATCCCACTGTCTCCATCCCCGGGCTTCTCCTCCACCTTATCGGCAATGGTCAATCCTGTCTCAAAAGCTTCAAAAACTCGGCTAACCCGGCCTTTGGAAGGGGAATCCTTCTTTTAGGATACCGCCTGCGGGACCCTTTTTTCGATCACAAAGCGCAAAGCTTCATCCTCCGATCCTGACCCATCCGAGTCCCCCTTTGATGCATGGGGAGAGTTCAATTTTTCATCCTTGTCACATCCGGGCTGCACTATATCTCCACCCATCGTGGTAGTACAAGTAATGTCCCCCTTGGGCAACAGTTCCTTCAACACCGCCCCCTGCACCACAGCTCCATCACCCCCAGCCTTTTTTGATTTGCGCTTGCCGCGTAAGGTGCCGGATTGAGGCTGTTCTCTTCCCCTGGACTCCGACCCAGCATCCGTCCCAGCAACACGGTGCACCGCCCCATCCCTTTCAGGCTTCAGCAGCGGGTGCTTCCCCCCTCTCGGCTTTCTCTTCGACGGAGCACTTTCCCCCGCCTTTGGGATTGGACTACCCACCGCACCCACAGGAAGACTCCCCAGCCTAGGCCGTGCCACAGCGTCAACCAAAATAGGTGGAGCCTCCCCCATAATCACATCATCATGCGAAACCACTCGCTCCCCCGCTTGGTTCAGCGCAGGAAGCTTCGGACGGCGGGGTTTCGATTTCCTTTTTATCGGAATGTCATCACAAGCCGCCGTAGGAGCACCACCCTGGCCAGGTCCCTTCAGCGTCTCGTCCTCCCTGTTCGAGTGCACTCCATCCACCGCACCTGGTGAGGCATCTATCATATCGTCGTCCGAATCCGCCTCAAGGAGAAGCCGTCGGCGACGCGTCTCAGCATGGAGCAGCGTCCCCTGAGTTTCCGTTGGCATCACATCCTCATCACACGAGGATTCCACCTGGGGAATCATCATCTCCTCCGCGCCTCGAGCACCAGCAGCCCCCTTCCCTTTGTGTCGCCCTAGCTGGTTCTGGCGAGCATTCCCCAGTCGCAGTTTGGGGTGCCTATTGATGATAATTCCACCCGGGCTTCCACGTCGACCTGGGGACCGACCCACCCTTTTTCCATGCTGCGAGACCGACTCCTCCTGGGAGACCGAACCCAAAGAAGCATGGGAAGGAGCATGGTGAACAGCCCTCGTCGAAGCTTGATTACGAATCCGAGGTCCCGACTGCGATTCACTCTTTCCCACCGACAACTTATGGTGGTTTTGCTGGTTGATCCAAACCGAACGCCTGGAACCCCCAAGGGGAAGGTCGTCACCATCATCCTCGTAAAGTTTCCTGCCCAACTTCTTTGTGATCATATGAGGGCCATACCTCTCTTTCCCTTTCGGCGGGTCAAACCCGCAGTCACGCCTCGCATGGCCAACTCGACCACAATGGAAGCAGAAGCTAGGGAGAAACTCGTACTTGAGGCTTACCCAGAAGCCCTCCACTTCATCATTAACCGCCATTAGTTGCGATCGGAGAGGTTTGGAGAAATCTATAGTAGTGTTAACCTTTATAAATCTCTTACCAGAATCCTTGCAAACAAAGATTCCTGACTCCAGCACCGGCCCAACAGTGGCCGCAATAATTTTCTGACCAAAAAGTTTGGTACAGCAATCCTCCATGACTTCCCATAACTGGACACGGAACGGAGCCTTAGCCATCTCATCAAAAATTCCCTTCGTGATCACTGGAGCCCATGAACGAAGTACCAGCAGCCGGTCCTTGATAATCCATGGATTGCGGGACAGAGCCCACTTCTTGGCTTCCTCATTTGGTAGGATGATTTCAAAGAGCCCCTGCTTAGTCTTCAGGACCTTCAGCTGGCCACGAATCTTCCAAGCATCCAGCAGATCGTTCCGCAGCTCCAAGGTACTAACTTGGTCATTAGTGAACAGCCGACCTAAAAGGGATCGGGAAGCTCGGAACCGGGTTGATTGAACCTCCTCGAGGGAGAACTGGACCACTTGATCATCAGTTATATGCGCCATCGTGCACCGTACCTGGCAATAATATGAAGGGAACATGTTAATAATCGGAGGGCCCGACCCTCGCATCGCGCCCGACAACGAGGCCGGCGGGAGCTTCACGGGAATAAGATCAAGCATCATAGTATTATAATAAAGAGGGAGCGTGGAGTTCCAGAGGTAATAATAATTACCTGAGCAACTTTCCAACGAGATCGAGAACTCCAAAGCACTGATGCCAACCGCAGAGAACACGAGCTCCAAGACTTCAACCTCAGCAGGATTTTGCCGAAAAGAATTTGTGGTTTTCAGTCTCTGAGCAGGGGGATTAAATAAAGCCGCAACCCTCTTCTTGGACTCTTGTTGGGTCCCGGTGAGAGACAGAGTTAGAGTGCAAGTAGGAATAGGACTCCTAAGCATATTAGGGTCATGATAGGGATCTTTACGTTGGGATCGGCTACACTGGTACCAATCCCGCAATCCCGATAATCCAGGGGGGAATAATTCCGAGCATTTCGCCCAAAAACGGTTACTCTCCCAACCGCAGAATCCGGTGTGGATGATCCACGAGGACCTGCCGGGAGGCAAAGCTGCCGTCGATCTCATCGACCTCGCCGGGGTACAGCGTCGTGGACGGCGGATGAGTAGAGAGCGAACCTCCCTCGCCTCCGCCACGAAGTCTCGGTCCTGACTGAGCATTTCGACATTTGTCCCCATAAACTGGCTATCACTATTGTTACACTCGCCGTTCTCGGATAACAGCGACTGATCGCCTACCGGATCAAACGACGATGGGAGCCAAAATCTCCATCCATAGGTTCTACCGAGCCTGCATTTTTTCGCAGGGCTGGTAAACGAAGATAACCTATCCCTCGAGGACTGATAATCCTCGCACAACTGCCGTTTTCGTTTACAGCTCACTCGTCTTCCACGAGTAGGACAACGATACCACAAGCGGTTCTGAACCCTCGAAGTCGCGTGCCTGGAGCTAGGATCGCCGAAAGTTCGATCTCCCGTCTTACCGTACCGTCGCTCATGCTGGTTCTGTAAGCTCGTCAGCAGGATGGCAGAGAGGAGAAGCAACAGGCGATCTCCAAGCCTGCGAAGCCAATTGAGGAGAGAGGAGAGAGCACCTCTCATAGCTTTTTTTTTTTTTTTTGGGTTTACTATGATTCTTATCATTAGGTTAGCTAATATTTAAAATATTTGAATATGTGATCTTTAGATTGAAAATCAGTGATTATACCATTCAACCAAGCCCCGAGTAATAATATCAATAATTATTGGAAATGTGTTTTTTTTTTTGGCAGAAAATATGTGTAATTGTTTTAATAAAACTTAACGAGATATTTTTTTTTCTTCATTTTTAACTTGGAAATTGGAATTCAATTTTTTCATAAAAAATCATATTGATTGTATTTTTGATGAATAAGTTTTTATTCACCAAGAAATGAGGGAAGATCCGCCCTTACTGGCCACCAAATTTATAGCAGAGTTTGACGCTTACAAGTTACAACTACAAGCCCGACCTTGCAGAATCAATTTAAATATTTCAGGGGATCTTAAATTTTGTACAATCAAACATAATCACAAAAACCTACAACAACCTCAACCTGAGGATACCCAGACCTAAGTAGTTTTACTAACCCATGCAACTTCTCAATAATCTGGGAATGTAAGAGGGAAGTGCCATCATAGATGCACGAACATCTTTCCCTCCAAAGCTCACTACAAGGTCGTCGTCTCTGAGCTCGAGATGCTAGGAGGAGGAGGACGGGGAGATTGCTCAGCGATCTCAAATCCCTTTACCAGAGCAAGCAAGGAGCGAGATGCTAGGAGGGAGGAAGCGAACCGCGACAGCCGCTGCATCCTCTCGTCCACCAGAGTGTGGGGAGATGAGGAGGCAACGGTTCTTCTTTTTTTTTTTTTTTAAGATTTGTTTCCGTACTTGACTTGGCTATGGAAGCTTGGTTGAAAGTCGTGGTGAGTCCCAAATCGGCTCAAGTTTGATGATGTGTGTCAATCGCGATGAGCAATCAGTCACACAACTTAAACTTGCCACACATCCCTAGCAATGGTCGCTCGCTGTAGCACCACAGTTTCATGCGATCATACACCTTAGCTAGAGACTAGAGCAATATTCAAGGCCAAGTGTCCCTTAGCTTCAGAACAAAATGGTTGAAAGCTTTGGGAGTATCAAACAATTGAACTGCAAAATTCTTCATTCATGGAATGCAACTAGTAAGGTGCTTATATGGTACAACAAAAAGGTGGATCTTATTATTATGTCTGCTACCCTGCTCCTAAAATCTTAATCCCACACTGTCCAAAGTTTGGTTTCCCAACCAAACCAGCCCTTACAGTGCTGCCTCTTTTTATACTTCTCAAAAGAAAGAGCTCCCAATCACCTTCAGGAAGAACTACTCTGCTCTTTATGCTGTTATGTTTACAAGTTAGGGATAATAATAATTACATTCTCAATTATGAACCCTAATTTCCTCTGCTTTCTTTTCTTCATTTTGATACAAAATACAAATAATCTGGTGCTGAATAAATTACATGCCTGCCTGCCTGCCGACTTAGTAGGGTGATCAATCTTGTTTCAGTGTTTCTTCACATGCTCATAGCTCTAGTTGAAACCTCTGACTCCACGTCCTGCAACTCTGCATCTACTGCTTCCCTACTTTCCTGCAAAATAAAATGTATCCTCCACTTGTTCAGTATCGGTATCAACATGTCGGTGAGCTGTGTATGGAGGCTTATTACTAACCACTGAATCTTTCAACTTGTATTCTGCAAGCCACCGCTCCAATGCGCCATCCCCACGAAGTATCTTTCCTCCACAACCAATTGCGGCGTCTGATCCCACAGACTCCTCATCAACCACAACTGCAACCACCTTATTACTTCCTGGTTCGTCGTCCGGAATCTGGAAATACATGCACCGCCGTGGCTTTAATGCATAAATAAATGTGGTACATGTATGTAAATAGTCCACAAGATGTGCTTCCCTAGACAAAAAGGGAGCCTCTGGGCCTTGCATACCTCATACATGGACTCAATAAGAATACTTTCCAATATGGCTCTCAAACCCCTAGCCCCAGTGTTCTTAGCCATTGCTTTTCTGGCGATTAGTCCGAGTGCTTTTTCTGTGAAGTGCAGCTTGACCTGACATTTCATGTAGCAACTCATCAGCAGCAGTAGTGAAACTGGCTGGATGCGAGAGAGAAAGAGACTAAAAGTATTACTTTGTTCATGCCAAACAACTTCTTATACTGCTTTCCGAGCGCATTTCTTGGTTCTGTGAGCACCTGTCAACAAATTGACAACCTCGTAAATTATAAAGATTTCAAGTCCTGATGTACCTTTCTACGCAGACACAGAAACACAAACAGACAACCAGAAGATGCAAACTCCGAAAATACATTTAAACTGCAGACAAGACACTGTCAGCCACCATACAGCTACAAGTTACATGGACAAGTCCAGAAAGAAGCAGACAGTTCAAATTAACTAATTTGATATCCTGCAGAGTTTTATACAGATGAGACATAACTAATATAGATCTTATGGAAATAGGAAGGCCAACATAACATAAAGTAAATTACCCGCACAAGCTGTTCTTCCGTTAGAGCTATCAAACTAACTAGTATAGGAAAACGTCCAATGAATTCTGGTATTAGACCATAGGCAATAAGATCGCCACTCTCAACCTGTAAAAAAACAAACACAGCTCTTAATTTACATTTGATGAAGTGCTCAGCATAACTATGTCTTCCCACTTGCTAATTGACATATAACTATTGGGATACTCCATATATGGTCATTTCACTTAGGAAAGTCTCCAGTCTTACAGATTCAAGCAAGGACGAAGTAACAGCAGCATTTGTTACACCACCACCAGTTCTCATATTAGCTCGGACAGGGGCCCCAAATCCAATTGATGAATCTTGCCGTCTGGAGTGAAAAGACAAAGGAACAAGAATTTTATCATAATGAAAGATGCATATAATTCACCCTACATTACATAAGCAATAAAGCTAGGCCATCGGAGAAATCCAGAAATGTCCAAAAAGCAGTTTGCACATAACATCGAAATGAATGACTCTCATAAAGCAATACCTCTCTGAAACAGTCTTTTCCAGATCAATGAACGCTCCACCACAAATAAAAAGAATATTTTTGGTATCTATCTGCAGGACAGAGAAAGCAATTTTAGAACCAACACAAAGCTAAATCATAGTTGTCCGTGAAAATGAAAGCAAGGATGAAAAAGATCATTAAGCATAAGAATGGGCATCAGCAACTACATACTTCATCAACCTAAAGAATCTGAGAAATCAAATTATTCAACAAACTAAAGTCATTCCATCTAATGACCAGATATTTGTTCTCATTAGCATTTATGTGGTACTTTGTGACTGTCAGGGTCCAATACAAGTAGTCCTTTTGGCAGTTTGCCTTTAAGAAAATGCATGAAGCAGCCACATGCTGCTCAGCCCACTTTATATTTTACATATAAGGAACCCAAGAGACGCATTATCTAAGCACTTCCATATCTTTGGGGAAGCTTCAGAAAAGGAACACAGAGAAGTCCAACAAACATGGGCACTGTAGGTAAAGGTCTAAGATTTCAGATTATGAGCCAAAGTGCCAAACTACATAGTTCATTAAATCCGCCAAATATGAAAGACATAATTGAAACACAACCTAAGGGAGAAAAACACGCATTCCTACATTAGCTACCATGGAGTTTTAGTAAATCAATAGTAGGTAGCAATATACACCAAAACAGTTTGTTAGGCATCACAATAGTAATGACACTGTTACATTATATAAACAAGTATTCTGCAGTGAAACAGCATATATCTTATGGGTAGATGTTGATGCAGTTCATCTGTATCTTCCAAAGGTTCAGTCGGAGAAATAATACTGTTTTTTGGGAAGATATATATAAACCCATGGTACCTGTATGTTATCTCCTCTGGGATGCTTCCGTGCTCCCTTCTCAGGAACATTAACTATCTGCAGAATAAGAACACCAGTCATTATACCACAGTTCAAAAGATAAGGAAACCATGCTAAATGTAATAGCTTGATTTACTCACTGTTCCTTCTAGCATTTTCAACAAAGCCTGTTGAACACCTTCGCCAGACACATCTCTGCTGATGTTTAAGCTCTCGGCCTACAAATTTACAACTGCATTAGTAAGATCTATATAAGAAAGAATCCAAGATCACATCCCAATTGGCAGAGCAGGGTGTTCACAAGAAACCTTCTTAGTTATCTTATCAACTTCGTCAATGTAGACAATCCCTTGCTGAGCAGCTTGCACATTGAACTCAGCTGCCTAGATTCAGGGAAAGAGAAAACGTTGAACGTCGCAAAGAAAGCAAAAGGATAACAGAAAGCAGGTATCATCAGAATAATGTTAGCTTCACATAACAATCCTATTATACCCCATTCTAGCTCCTGTTAATATAGTCAATTTTCGGAGAAAGGAATGGGCAGGTTACCCATAACTATTGGAGATAACAAAACAAATTGTAGTAATTAATTCATATCTAGAATTCCTTAATTCTTCGTTCCACGGTCCTAAATTTTAGTGGTTACAGAAACAGCAGCTCATACATGCCCGAGCCTGGCTTGAACAATGTCATGACTCTAATCACATAATTAACCTAACCAGCCAAATTCTGTACAACCTATGGTTCTGGTGTGCAGACTCAACTTATTATGTGGAAAGCTGGATCTTTGGATGATCTGTACAGCCTAACGTCAACTATTCACTAGCTACAGGCATGATAAACATCACTCGCTAATCATATAGCCGAATGTGATTGAATTATTTCAGAGATACCCAACAAAGACTGAGCACTGACAGGAATTTACTCTAAGAGTGATATTATAGGCTCTTGCAATATCTTGAGAAGTATGGAGGGAAAACATACCGCTAAAAGTTTATATAATATAGACTCGACATCTTCTCCGACATAACCAGCCTGCATAGAGGGAAAAATTGCAATAGTCAATAATCAGCAGTGTTGCAATGTCATAACAGAAAACTTGGCTATTTGATGCACTCCCTATAGACGACTTGCCTTCAACTATGAGTACCCATGCAATTCATGGCATGCTTTCTAATGAAAAAGGGGGGAAAGCTCTGCATTATACAGAACAAACTTGCCTGAGTCAATGTTGTAGCATCTGCAATGACAAATGGCACATTCACAAATCGTGCAAGTGTCTTTGCAAGCAATGTCTTTCCTGTTTCACAAAAGAAAAAGAACAAAAATCAGAGTTTAATAGGTAGAGAACCCGGAGGTCATATGAAGACCTGAAATCTTTTTTCCACCAAGAGCACATCACAATTGAAAGGACCCAAATGCAGTGCATAACTCATACCTGAGCCAGTCGGACCCATCAAGAGAACATTGCTCTTTTCTAACTCTACATTATCGTCATCATCAATTGCATCAGGACTCAAAGATTCTGCTCCTGACCTAGTATTGGAAATTATCATTTCAGTTCATATCATGGACCAAAGATGGAAAGGAACAGATGATTGAAAACTTGCTGTAATAGGTCAGCCGATTCAGGACTGCTGCAATGGAACCGACCCTTTTTGTGAGGCATGGTAAATCCTCTTGTAGTGATTGTACACAGCAACGGAGAGCACCTGCCAATAAAACCATGGAAACAGGTTTTCATTGGAGAGTTATGAGGGGGGATCCCTGCACTGCACATTGACAGCTTCAGAAGGCAAAGTACAAACCTTTTTGGCCCTGTCTTGTCCAATAACAAACTTGTCAAGACCCTTGCAGATCTCTTTCGGAGTAGGTAAATCATTCCCAAGATTAGCCCCACCCCATCTACCACTCTTCTCTCCTTCAACTCCATCACCACTTGAACCTCCACCACCCGGGCCAGCTGCCCTGACAACATTAACACCAGGTGCAAATGGTGGACCGGGGGGAGTATGCACAGCCAGCCCATTGGCCGGAGGCGGCGAGGGAGTCAATGGAGGCGGTGGCGGCCAGTTTTCAGGTGGGTCAGCCGCATACGACCGAAGAGTCTGCCAGAATGACGCCCTCAACCTCTTATTGATGCTGCTATTGGAAGCAGTAACCGAATCCCCGGAAGACGAAGAGTCCTGCCCCTCGCCGTTATTATTGGAATGTTTGGCGGAATTGTATTTATTCCTCAACTTACCATTACTGATCCTCCCAATCTCAACAAAGCTCCCCTGTAGCGGAGCATTGCTGTGAGGGCGGAAGTAGAAAGCAGTTTTGCAATTGGGGCAGTAATTGACAGCCTGATACACATCTCCGCCGCCGCCGCGGCCGCTGCTGCTCTGATTATTATTATCAGAAGAAGAAGGATCGGAAGGAGGGGAGAGATTGGGATTGTGATGCTGATGATTAAGACCGCGACCGTGATTATTCGAGAAGAGAAGATCCATGTGCTTGGAACAACGAGGACAATTAGCCTCGGCCCTAATCTGCCTGATACTGTTATCGCCACCATCAACCGAATTATTATTACCACCACCCTCGCCGCCGTCCCATTTATACCGCTCCTGGACCCCGGGGAGCGACTCCCGGCGGCGGTACCTGTTGAGGAAGTTCAAATGCGTGGTGATTGGGGAGAATCGGAAGTACCGGGACGCCGGAGAAGAAGTGGAAAGAAGGCGGAAGGCGGCGATCGGAGAGCGGGATGAGCGCGGGGAAGGGGAGAGGAGGAAGAGAGTTGCGCCGGTGTCCTTGAGCTTCTTCCATCTCGACATTCCAGGCATAGAGGGAAGTCGTTCTTTGGTGGTTTTATTGGGAGGATGAGGAGAAGAAACAGAGCAAGAGAAAATGGCGAATTGGGATCTGGAGAGGAACTGGTTTCTGGAGCTGGGGGAGGATTAGGGAGGAAGAAGAAGAAAGGGAAGGGAAGGGATAGTTTGTAATTGTAGATAAAGTGGGGGAGCGTTTTTAGGGGGAAATTTACGGAAACGACGGAACAAGAGGAGTGGAGAGACTTTCGACTTTTGTGACGAATAATAACCCAACATTAATTTATTATTTATTATTTATTATTTGGTTCCTTTTTGTGTTCCTTAATCCTCAAAACTTGTCTAAAGAAACGTGGGATGAGACTTGAGAGGGAAGGAAGGGAAGGAGGGGAAGTAACTAACCTCTGGATAGTATGGTTGTTTTGTCGGTGGTATGTTGGTTGGTTGAAATCGGTTTAACTGGTGTCGATCATGAAATCAATGTGAATATCATTGATGTGATCGATTTACGATTTTTAATCAAAATGATGTCGTTTTAGTGGGGGGGGGGGGGGAAACTTCTCCCTCCCTTCTTTTCTCTCTTCTCCCTCCTCTTGAGCGAGCGCTTCTGATCGTCACGATGACGGCTTCGTCGTCAGAATCTGCTCTGGTTGGTGATGTCGTCGTTACTTGGGCACAACTTTCTGATATTGCTCCAACTAATAGGATGAATTATCGGCCTCCGGAGCATATTCACGATGGGTTCCGCCTCCCTCGAGAGGTCAAGAAGAAGAGCGAGGGACGATGGGAGGATTGCTTAATTGGCCAGTTCGTCGGTCATACTCCCTAAGGTGCAATTCGTTTAGCAATGGGCGAACAATATTTGGGGGGCGGGGCGGGCTGATTAGGGTTTCCAGATTCGGGCCTCGTCTTCTTGTGTTTCAATATCCTTCAGCTGCAATCAGCAGATGGGTTGTGCACTTTTGGTCCCTGGCACTTTCAAGGGAATCAGATCTTTCCCTCGAAAGTGGGCTCCGAGAATCGAGCCGGTGGCTCGAGTCGTTGAAACTCTGCTGATCTGGGTCTGCATCTGAGGGCTACCATTGGAATATCATTTCTTTTGAAGGTTTGGAGTGGGTTGGTTGTCAGTACTCTTGATCCTCCGGTGTGTATGGATCAAGAGACAGAGGAGCAAGAGCCCCTCATTCAGATAGGCTCCACAAAACGGAAACCGCAAATCAGTATTCACGGTTGGCCATTGAACAACAATAACAAGTATGCAGGGGCGCCAGAAGTGAAGAAGTGCCACAAATAAGAATTTCGAGACTAAAAAGCTACTACAAGTACCAATAGTCTAAGCTTCTCAGCATATGCTTTGTCACACTACCGACGTTGCTCCCCACACCATTTGAAATGCGCATCCTCCAGATCAAAGTTCACTGACCTGATTCAACGATAAATATAGCAGTGGTAAGATATTCCGCAGAGAAAAGCCAGGGCCTAGGAATGAAAATTATGACCAAGAAAATAAACATCTAGGGCTCTAGCTACGCTATGATAAACACTACTTAATTATCAGTTAATCACAATACAAAGCAACCATCACAACGTTGGTAAAGAACACATAACGAATATGCGATTGCAGACTGCAAGAGTTCCACATAACCGAAACTCCAGACCTCCATTACTTCAACAAGGGGGTGGGGAGCCATTCATTCGGAGGCTCCCCACATACCGAAAACTTGAGATCAATATGCAGCGGTGACACAATAAGTACTACAAACCAGAATGCAAGATTAATATAGCTATTACAAGTATAATACCCCACCTTCTCAGCATGATTCGTCACAAAACATCATGGCATGAAACAGAAATTATTGAACTGAGGATTTGCAGAGATAAATGGAGCAACATAATGTAAGAACAAATTCTGCTCATATCCAGACACAGTAAACATAAGATAACACCAAGTTCATATGTCACCTTGCTATGGGTTCCACTTCAGGGTCTCTATAAGAAACTGCACAGACTTCTGGTTCCAGTAAAACTATGCTCTCTGTATAATCCGCAGCATAGAATACATCTAGGTATCCAGCGCCTGGCATCCCAAGAAGCTCAACTTGTCGGGTCTTGTGATCATATAAACACAAAACAACTTCTTGTCCCGACCTCGGACTACCAACCAAATCCTCCTCCCTTCCCTTCTGCAACAAAACCTCCTTATCCTGCCACAACCCAATAACAAGTTCTCGAGTTGGATCAACTATGCTTACACTGCAGAATCTTGCCCAACTATTGTCCGCACCACTGCACCCTTGCTTTACCAATATCTCGCAAGAAGTGGCAGTATAATACAGGACTGTAAGCAAACCTGTGACCTTGGTCTCTGAAATGGAAATGAGTCTTGATTCACCTGCTCCTGGCAGTTCCTTGGGCAACTCAATTCTACTGAAACTCTCATCATTCACATCGAAAGCCAGAAGGAAGTTGTTTCTCAATCCCACTTTAGCTGGCCAATATATAATCCCATCTACAGAACACTGAGACCAAAGGATATCACCATCACAAGACTGCAACACTTCAATGGGAACTTCCCTCCATTGACGCTCTTTCAGAGCGTAAACTTCTGCTCGCCGTCGTGCCCCAGCAGTTCGAGGGTAGGCGATTCTGACCACTTTATAGTCATCTGCATTTGAATCGTACCCGAAACCCAACACGGCAGGGGCGGAATTGGGACCAGCAAGCTCGCCCATTTCTCTGAAATTGAGCGTCGGCCTTGGGACGTCGATGAACCGCCTAAGCGACGGATTCCAAATGTAGATGGTGTAAGCATACATATGAAAGTTGTCGCAGAGGCAGATTAACCCGTGTAGCGACCCGAAAACATGAATGCAACCGGGGACGCCAGATCGAGGCTTGAACGGGGACGAGATGTCGACGGAAGAAGCAGCGAAACGCTCCGGATCCGAATGGAGAGTGAAATGTTCGGAAGAAGCAGCGGTGAGTCGGCGTAGGAGGAGGGAAGGGCGGCGGTCGGGATTGGAATTGGAGGAGAGGGTGAAGGAAGAGCGGTGATGGGATACGAATTCAGAGCTTCGGATCAGCGAATTCCATACCTTGGATACGGCGGTGCATCTGAGGATGGAAATCACGGGAAGACTGACCAGGATTTGAAGCAAGATTTCTCTGGGCAAGTCGCCGAACCCGGCGGCCGGATTACTATTAGAAGGTTTCTTCATCCTCCGGCGTCGGATCAATTCCCCCAAAGCTACTGGAAGACTGAAACCCTAGCAGCCATCAATAACATTTGATCGAAGACAGAGAGAGTATGAGCGACCGATTAATTACCCTTCCTCAATCATATTTGTATCAACTGAAAACTCCTATATACAGCCAGCTATCAGCTGCAACCACCCACCAACTAAGTCATTTACACTCTCCCATTCCCTTTTTCTCATGAGACCCATGAGCACTCCATTCGCAGTTATGGCTGGATAGGAAAAGATATTGTTTTCTAATTTCTAGGGTTCTCTCAGAAACCCAACAAAGTAACTCGAGTTGTTGGGAGAAACGAAAGCCAACCCAAGGGCTTGAAGTTTGCACAGGCCCACCATATCATGTGCTTGAAAGACAACGGTTAATATTGGGGGTCGTGGAGATTCGAACACATGACCTTTCGGTTCTAGGCTCTGATACCATGTCAAGAACCAGTTGATCTCAATAACTCGAGTTGTTGGGAGAAGGTTCTGCTGGATCTTATACCACAGTCTTACACATATCTCGTCCACCAACCTCTTCTCGTGTCCCATCAGTTCCTCTCTCGATCAGTAGGTAAGAACCACAAATCCCCAGCTCTAGTCAAGCTCCAAAGCTGCAGATATAGTTAACTAAGAAGTAAGAACGAAGGTTGTTTCTACGGCGTAGCTCCGACGGTGAAGGTTCGGAGCGATTAAAGGACGATCTAAGAAAGAAAAGGAGACTATGGTTGTCATGTCGGTGGCATGCCATCCATTGAATCTGGTTCAACGGGTGTTAGTTATGAAATCGGCATGAATACATAGATCGATTTACAAATTGTAAGTAAAATGACATTGTTTTAGTAAATTTAATTAATAAACATGAGTTTACTACATATATTTTTTGTATTATAAAAGTTAATATAATTTGTTGGATTCAGTTATAAATTTTTAAGTATTGAAGTTAAATGTTATATTTAAATATGAGTTTTTGTTATTTTATTTGGAATGATGTATTCTATTAAATCGGCATGAACCGACACCAACCGGTTGTACCACTATTCTTTGGATCGGCAGATAAGTGCTTTATCGTTGTTTAGATTGAAGCTCTTGGAGTCATTCCAAAACATGTGTAATGATCTCCCCTTCCTCCCTTTTCTTGCTGTTCCACAGGTGGTGGTTGCCCTCGTTCCAGATGTACCAGAGAACCACGAACAGAGATTCAATTGCCTCCACTTTCTCACTTTCTAGTCGGGTTATGGTTTGTAATTTGTATTGGGTTGGCAGGTTGACATGACGGGTTGTGATGATGTGGCGGGTTGGGTTTAGTATTTTCTGGGTTATACTAGCCTGACTAGGCAATTTCATTTGCCACATCAGTACTTAACGGACTTCATTAACGAAGTTGGACGAAAACTAACATAGAGTGACCAAACGTTGAGCTTTTTACTAATTCGATTGACCAATATTAAAATTAAATATTTCTAGTGAAACTTGACATTTTTTAGTGACCACAGTGACCAAATTTGCAATTTACCCACAATAAACAATACTAAATCGACCAACAGGTTGAGAAAAAGCTTATATAAATATATTATTGGTCGAACTTAAACCTAAAATTTCGATCGCTATGGATCCCCTCAATAACCTAAATACGCATAACCATCCACAAGATCATCTCCAGTAGGGGGGGGGGGGGGGGGAGTGCTAAAATCAACCTCCAACAAGGGCAGACAATGCTAGAAGTTGATTTATTTGAGGCTAAATTTGGTCCAAATAAAACAAAAGGAACTAGACGGTAATCCCACACAAAACCGCACATGCGACGCCCTAGAAAGGGGAGAGGCTGCCACACGCAGGGCAAAACCAATCATGGCTCGCGTGCTCGCTCTTGTTCCAATCCTTTCTCAAACTCAACTCCCCCACCTGCTATCACTCCTTAAACTAAACTTAAACCTAAGATCACTTATAATGTAAGTTCATAAAATGAGAAGAATGGAAAATGTGGGTGGGAATACCCACCACCAAGGGAAATTGTGAGACAAATTGTGAGGGGAAGAGAATGGGAGGGGCCCATTACCTGGTCCGCACATAATTTATTTTTTACTTTTTTTGTTTTTTTTTTGTTCTAAGTTATTTGTTTTTATAGGTTTCTTTTATTGTGAAGTGTTTTGATTGGTTTTATCCGCAACAGACAGAATCAATGACATTATATTTAATTTGTGATGAAAAAATTATGTCCAAATTAAAAAAAAATCATATCAAAATGTTCGTATTAATTAATTCTAATTACGTAAAAAAAAATGATTATTATATAAAAATAAAGTAACAAAATCAACTATAGATTGATTTTAACAGAAAAGTACTAAACCAATTACCAATTTTTCCCATCCACCACATTGTGACCAAAACCTCTATTTCCCCCTCTATTTCCTCTTTTCCCACCTTTCCCTCCCACCCACATTGTGGATGGTCTAATAGTCGTTAACTTAACCTAAACCTAACCGTTTAATATTGATATTCTTAAATGAATCTATGGCTATCTAAGCATCCAATATCAAACAAAAATACAATTTTTTCGAACTTTTTTTTTAATGGAATAGTTATTGTATTTTTGCCACTGATGATGTCATAATTATTAGAAATTTTCGTCTTAATTAGATTATGAGTGAGAGTGAAAATTAAAATGATGAAATAATGAATCTATGGCTAACAATAATTTGCATAGAAATTTTCGTCTTAATTATTATTACTACCTAAATCAAAATAATGAACAAATGATCTAGTTAAAATGATGGAATATAATAAATTAGATTATGAGTGAGAGCGAGGGTGAAAGTTTAGAACTTTTGCACTCTTTATATTGAAGCAAAACTCACATTATGGGGGGCTAGTCCAGCAAATTTAGCCCCCATTTTTCACCAACTTAATTTGAGAGACTATATCTCTTTTATTTGAAGTCGGAATTCATAATTTTTTGCACGGAAAAGTTAGAGTAATTTGGTTTTTAAAACAAATGTGATACAAATTGGTACGAGAATGGTAATGAATGGCCCATCTCTATACAACAATTTTAAATACGAGTTAAAACAAAGAAGATACAGACCGAATACAAAAGAATTCGTTTCAATCTCTAGAAAAAAAAACTTTTTTTTGTTTTTAGTGAATGTCATTGTAGAAGCTTTTTAGTTTTTACACGTATACTTATGTTTGTGAAACAAAGCATATCTTGATTTATAACCGACGTGACATGATGAAGCCAATAATAATACTTTCCTCTGCCGCCCAGCCGTTCTGCCGCCCAGCAAGTTGAATTATTCACAACGCTAATTACCTTCATCTCCCACCTCTTACTAGGGCTGGGAAAATAGACCAGACCGTTAGAAAAACCGTGGTCCAAACAGTACCGCACAGTTTGGTCCGGACCGTAGACCGTGAAGTATGGTCTGGTCTGGTCCATGATCTGTATTATTTTATGATTTGATCTCTTGGTTTGGTCTGGTCTAGACCGCGATTTACCGGACCAAACCGTAGACCCAACTGAATTGTCAATACGTGTTAACAACCCATTCGACCACTCTCCAAACTCCCACAAAGACACCCAAGTCTCAACCTTAATTTTGTGAATCTCTTCCCTCCTTCATTCACAACCACATTTAACCACAGAGTAGAGATAATCGTGTCTCCATATGACATTATGTTAATGTTTATGATATTATGGTGCAAGCTGAGATGCTTTTACTTTGTATCTTTGTTATGTACTAAGATTTAGAGTATCAAAATTATTCATGCATGTTAGGATTAATGTTTTAAGGCAAATAACAATTATTTTTCTTGGTTATTGGTTCAATTTTTTGTGTGGTTGACTAAACAAATTATTCATTTTTCGTTGAGTGTGGTCTATCTGGACCAGACCATACCGAACCAGACCGCACAGGCGTGGTCTGGTCTGTGATCTATACTTTAACCTCTCGATCTGGACCGTAGACCGTATATATGGTCTGGTCTGGACCAGGCCGCACCATTTCCCAGCCCTACCTCTTACCCATAACTCCAAAATCAATTAATCAACAACCCAACGCAACATAATTTTTTATCCACCTGCATTATAATTATAAATACATCTTTCACGTACGATAGTTTTCCATAATCAATTACTAAGTCATATACATAATTACGTACCAACATATACAAAAAGAGGTTGCTAGCTAGTTAATTATAGATAAGCAAATGAAAGCAGCCACCGCCACCGCCACCGGTATAGTACTATCAGTACTCCTTGTGGCACTACTTGCCGCCGCGCCGCCGCCGCCGGTCGCTCTTGCCGAGAAGGAAGCTCACACCTGCAGTTGCTCGCCGTTCAGCAGCGGTGGCAGTACTGGCTGCGCTGAGTGTGACGCAGGACGGTGCTGCAGTCCGGCTGGCTACTGTGGGTCTGGCCTGCGTTACTGTACGCCGTGTTACTGTGGAAGCTACGTTTGCGATTACTGTAATTGTGACAACAACTGCTCTTTTCCTGTTGATGGGAACAACCTTAACAGCACCAAGAAGTACAACGTTTCTGCTGCTGTTGCTGCTAATGATTCCACTCCTCCTCCAAGTATCGACAATTAACAATCCAAAAGTATACTATATGTTCTGATTACCAATATCACATGATGATGCCCTATAATTAATATTTATGTACTAAATGAAGCATGAGAGATATGAATGCTTTGACAAAACTATGTATCATCATCCTCGTAAGAAATCAGATTCTTGTCATGATCACTATGAAGAATCTGTATACTATATATGATCTAATGATGCTTTTATGTTTCGAGGTTTTCATAATAATATAAGAATAAATTATAATCAAGATGCCACTTTTAATTACGATGCATGCTTCAAACACTTTGCAGACTTGTTTCATATCTTGTAGATAATACTGTCCAAACCAATCATTGATCTTCTAAATTGATCTTTCATATCGGCCAAGTAAGTTGATCTAATATTTTGTAATGACTATATACAACAATAGTCCTTCAAAATTATTTTCCAATATATATAGTTATGTCTTCGCTGCACTCTTTTTTTTTTTTTTTGCATTCAATGCACTCGCTTCATAATCGTCATTCTGAGCATGCGATTCATATGAAAATGATGTCAATCATCACTTGTGATATGATGGACAGAAAACCCCATCAATTTATAAAGAAACTCATTCAAGATTTACTTTGATTTGAAGGATATAGGATTTACTCATTCAAGATTTATTTAGTTTTTTCCCCCTCTTATTTCGATCGAACATATAATAAAACTCCGAGCTTCACATCAATATATTATATCAATTGCAAATCATATATGACATGTAATATGCAATTGATTACGAGATTGCACGAATTTAGTGGGCACTTGCAAAAAATGCAAATTTGCATTTGATTGAGTTCAGGATGCAAGCAACCTAGGATAATCAAAACCAATAATTTATTTTAGTTCTCTATTAATTTGTTTGTTTATATTTATTATAAAATTATTTGGACCCACCATATATGCAATTGCATTACAAGTGAATTTGCATGGATGAATGCACAACAAAATTAGAATTAAAATGAGTTCCATCAATAAAGTAAACATATATAATTATTTTCTTAATTGCATTGATTTCACTGGCAAACTTAATTGAGCCGCATTAAAGACAACTTACAATTACGAACATAAAACCCAAAAAATGTTCTCAGGCGCATTTGGGTAACTAATTTAATAAATGCACTATTTTTTTTTTTTTTAATCTCAACAGCAAATTCCCAACTCAGATCAAATGCGTCACAGCTCCGGCTTGACCCTGTATCTCGGCACCGCCGCGGCCGAATCTCCTCCGCCGGCACCATCAATACCGACAGTCTTTCTCTCTTCCATCATGTCGGGAGACAGCTTGGCGTACGTGATCGTGAGGACCCCGTTTGCCAGCTTGGCCCTGAGGGAGGACAGGTCAGCATTCTCCGGCATCCTGAACTGCCTCCAGAACTTGCCGTGCGACCTCTCCACCCGATGCCACTGCAACCTCATCATTTCTCCTGATCTCTTCTTCGTCCTCATCTCGGCGTCCTCCCGCTTCCTCTCGCCGCTGACCCTGAGCACCCAGTTCTCAACCTCGATCCTCACCTCGTCCCTCGTCAGCCCGGGGACGTCGAGTATCATGACGTGTCCCTTGGCGGTCTCCTTCCAGTCCACCCTGGCGTGGCACGTGGCCACGAACGGCGCCAGCTGGAGGGCGCGGAACGGGTCCAGCCAGAGGTCGGCGAGAGGGCCAAGGTCGATATTCAGCGGCGGGAAGCCCAGAGCGGCGCCGGAAATGAAGGCGTGGTGGCAGAGGAGGAGGAGGAGGAGAAACGAGAGAAGATGGGCGGGACGAGAAGTAGACATGGTTTTTCAGTTATTTTTGGCGATAATAATTATTGCCGATGTGTATATGTTGGTGGGTGGGCGCAGCAGCAGGATATATATATATAAATAATATATATAGAGGCTTTTAGGAGCGAATCTTAAACGTCTCGTTCGTTCCCGGCCCTGAGGGTTACGATGTGACAGTAGGAAGAAAAATGGCGAAACTCGCGAGGAGGCTGCATAGTTTTCTTGGCACGTAAAGCTAGGGCTATTGGCCATGCAACCTTTGGGAAAAGGAAACGTCTGCAGGCTAGGCCAGCGTAGCGACGACGAGCGTGCCTAATTGGCAGAGGACTATTAAATGTAATCTTATGGGAAAAGAAATATTTCCCCACTAATAGTTAACAAGCTGTAGGGATGGCAATTTAAATTCGTTCTGTGGTTATTATCCGGTTTGATCTGCGATGACGGAAATTACTCGACCCGCAGTAATGTGGGGTAGGACATGGGTATCTACTTCCGACCTGCCTTGCCCCGTCCTGCACCGTTCTTGACCCATTTTTTTATCTCAATTTCTTACAATTTCTATACATATTTCTCCTATTTCGACTTTTCTTTAACTAGTTAGCTAGAGTCGAGTAATTTCTCCTATTTCAACTGGTTAGACTCAATTACTCATTCTATTACAACTGCTTTTCATTCATTTAGTGTTTTCCCTTTCGTTTTAGCGTAAAAAGTAAAATTTGCATGTGTTATTTTCAAATAACATGTAAGAGTGGGTCGACCCGCCCACCCCGTACCAGCACGGGTTTCACACGCCCCGACACGTAGTAGCATGGGGCGGGACATGGGTATTGAGGTACCCGCCCTCCCCATTGTCATCGCTAAACCAGGCGGTAGCATCTACGAATTTCAAAACATAATTAACATATCTGCAAAATTCAAGAGTATATATATATGTTGTTTGAGCAAGGTGCCGGTTGGATCGGGTTTGACAAGAAAATCACTGATCTGATTTAGGGGTGTAAGCTTGACCCGAAAAACCAACTGACCCATCCCGACGAGTCAGTTTGTCTACAAGGTCAGATTAGAGACGGGTCATTTGTTGATCCTGTAAGGGTCGGGACGAGTAGAGACAATTAACTTAGGGACGGGTCAATTTGTGACCCTGTGACCTTTAGCAACAACAAATATCTCATATCACATTGGAACTTTTGTAAAGTTTTACGAGTTTAGGTACTAAATTATAAAATTAAAATTTTTTGGATACCAAAACGTAATTTTATCATAAAAATTATAGACTAATTTGTAAAAAAAATAAATTTTAGGTACTAAATTGTAAGAGGAAAAATTATTTTGGGTACCAAAACATAATTTGTAAAAAAGTTGTGTGTTGATTTGGTCGACCGACTAACCCGGGGCGTCCCAACCCTTGAGGGTCAGACATGATCAAGAAGGAGACAGGGACAGGATGAGTCAGTCGTACATCTTGACCATTCCGACAAGGTCAGGGACAGGTCGGGACAATTTTCAGTCCAAATCTAACTCCTAAAGAGAGAGAAGAAGAGAGAAGGAAAGAGGACGGTGAGTGAGTTATGTGGCTATGAGAAGTGAGTTTTTAGTAGTTACGTAGAAAGTAAATTTCATTTGAGTTGTTAAATTTTTTAATTATTATCTTATTTGGAAATATTTGGAAAATGTATAGAATAGCTCAAACAGGTTCATTACGGGAAAATGGACATCTTGGCACACTTGAATTGCAACACTATTTGATATAGTGTTACATTTAATGACAACAATTTTTCCTAGTATTGTGTATTAGGTAGATTACGCAACCCAAATTAATTATGGGTTGCACTTATCTACTATACGCAACACTTATATTCTCCAATAATATGTGATAGAGTTTTTTGTACTTTTCTTCATTTCAAATTTTCTGCAACGAGAGTAAAAAGTAAGAAGGAAAATTTAGTTTTTACAATTAATTAATTATTTCATATAAAAAATATAAGTAACAACTCTAAAATCCATTCGAAACCCGACAATTGTATACTCGATTAGAATAATTGTGATTGTTACATTTGCCAATTGTTAAAAAAAATATAATAATGTTGCATTCATGTTGCCACTTATAGACACAAATTAGTGATCGAAAATCTCTTCTCGACAATGTTATAACTTATATGATAGAGTTTGTCTCACTTAAGTTGAAAATCAATAATAATAAATGACAGCTTATATCCCTCATTCCACAACCTATCTACTCCTTACAGCCTGTTTGGAATGAACAATTTTGTAGGAAATGGAATTCCATTTCCCTAAAGTGCATCAATTCCTATGTTTGGAATCAAAGGTTATGTTGGAAATGGAATTCTTGACCCCCGAAACTCCGGAATTACAATTCCGATCAAATATGGTCGGACTTCCTCCAATTCTTTGGAAATAGTGGGACCCACTTCCTTTTAACCATTCATTTTCCTGAAACGGCCCTAGGTGTTGCTCTATGTTTCTTGTGCAATTTTTTCTTTCTGGCTTTGTCAAATAATCTTTTAATTTTTTTTTGTCTATGAGCGTGTGAAAAATACAAGATGAATAAAAAAAATTCACTTTTTTATGATCTGCTCATATTTTCTTTTTTTTGGTTTGTTAGCTATGTATTCTAGATTTATTAGATGGTTCGTATTATATTGTATATTCTTTTTACTTGTTTGTGGTTTTGTTAGAGCATAAATTGCATGCTTAGAATTTATTTTGTATGAAACTTCTAACATCGTATTAAATATTTTGTTTAATACACGTATATATACTGGTACATATTTTATCCGTTTAAAACTTTCGTATCCATATTATTATTAGGCCATTTTGTTTTTTTCGGTTCATTTTACGCCTCCCGTAGTAAACACGTATAAAACCTTCATAACACATTTAATATCTATATTTAATGAATTAAATTGCAAACTTAAGTATTATGTATATATTTATTTATTTTTAAAATAATTAATTCTTATATTTTATAACTATTGAAGTACTATTAAAGTACCATTAGTTTAGAGATGAAGTAAAATGCCAGTACGTATTTTATATATAAATTACCCTATCATATTTTACTAACTATGATATTTATGATTATATATCGAGATTCAATCATTTCATACCGATAAAATTATATATCAGCTTGGATTTCTATCAACAGTTTTTTAATCAGACCACCAATATAGTATTGTTTAGTAGACACTTGTTCATATAAGTAAAAAGCTTATAAGGACATTATCGTAAAAGTGTTTATAAGAATTCATTTCCATCTTCTCCGAACACAAAAGCATAAATCAATTCCAAAAGTTTAGGATTTGTACCAAACAGAAATTTTGAAAATGAATTCCTACAGGAATTCCGATTCTCATAAGAAATGGAATTCTTTTCCATATGGAATTGGTTCCAAACAGGCTGTTAATTACTCGATTTCATCTGCACTACACCAAATTATACCACATCAACACAATATTGAACAAATAGTACTTCATCAAACTGATGTATAAAACATCATTTAGGCGACTCGTACACAATACCTCTCACAACAACAACAATAAAAATTTACCATTGATAAACTTCATATGTCGATCCAATATAGAACCAACCCCTTATATAGATTTGAACCACAAGTAAACAGTTCAATTCGTTCAATTTGCGATTCTCATTTACTCCTTAACTGGCTAATTTGGTTTCAATTAAACCGCCAAGCCGAACCCGAACCACTAGCCCCAGATTAAAATGGAGTGGGCTTTCTAAGGTCTCAATATTGCTTAGATGCTCTTTGTTTTGTGAACCATTCGTGAGAAGTGAATGGGCAAAAGAGATTCAATTAACCATATAAAGGCCTACTCCGCTACTCGGGAACGGAAATGCAATTGGAACCAGCCGAATTTGGGCCCGGGCCCGGGCCCATTGCTCAGTTTCATTTCTGGCGGGAAAATAACTACTAATGACATCCACTACCAACCCTTCTCGCCGGCGGGATTACCCGACCGGCGACGGTAGAAAAAAGTTACCGATCTCGTCTCCGGGCTGGCCCTGCAGCTGAAAAGCCAGCCGCCGAAGAAGCTATGCGAAGAAAGTTCTTCCCTTGACTCGTCTACTACGAATCTCACTCAAGTCTCTCAACCACGATGAAGCTTCTAAATCTAGGGTTTTGGACACCGCTCTGACTTATGTGCTTCAAGGCACAGTTTGTCGCTGCTGAAGCAGAGGTATGTTCCTTTCTGAGATCAATCAACCTTTTCTTAGTGCAAAATAATGGGTTGGATTCTTTTATGGTATCTGAATCCTTGGTTTGTGCTATTATATGCTCTCATTAGATCCTTAGTGTCGCGGTTTCTGCACCAAGTTTTAGATATATGGACACCCATCAATGGTGGTTCTGGGTGCTGAATTGATTGCCAGAAGAAGCATAGCTGCCCTGAAGCTAGTCCCACACTTGCACGTACAATTGTCTTCTGGGGGAGATGAAGTACCAGTAAGGCCTGCTGCCAATACTCCTGCTCAAAATCTAGCTCTATGAACCAGAAGGACCAGTATGCGAAAATGCTGCTAGTTACCTTGCATGAATTTTGAACCCTTTTGATAAAAACTCGTCAAGATATACTCTCTGTTAATCTTATCAAGTTCGCACGACATTGGACTTCGAAACAAGTTTCCCTCGGTCTGCAAGAGACGCGTGCACTCGGGTTAAAGAGGAGCTTAAGAAACCCAAAGTCGATGACATAAGCAAGGAGGGGTTCATTTTTGGGAATCTGCATGGTTGTGAAGCAATCCGCCTGTGGCTCCAAGAGTACCAGAATATATGGCATGTTTTTCAGATGAATACCATCAGCCATCAGGCATCTTGACTGGCGGGTGTTCAAGTGACATGAATGAAAGTGGATGCGAGTTTCTCTTACACTATGCAGCCACTAACATCTTCCGTTCAGCTCCACAGAATGAGGGTTTCACTATGAAGGATGCTATTGCTGCGGCCAGTACTGTCCTCGGCTTGACTGATTTTTGCTGACAGGATGTCTGTATCGTTATTCGAGACTGTAGATATTGCAGACAGTTATATTTGCAAGGTGAAATTGAGAACCTGGAGATACTTGATGAAGTGTCTGCAGAGATTAACTCAGGTCGATGCTGGTGAAGCTGCTGGAGTTCAAATGCTGATGGATCTTGTTAGCAGACTGGAGAAGTGGAAATACCTAGGGCAAGAAGTAGCACTTATTGAGACAGAACTGGCTAATGCATGTAATGCCCTCAAGGCTAAATTTCCTTCTACATGAAGCAGATTTTGAAGCCTGTTATTTATGTCGGAACCATCTTTTTTTCTGGATTGTGCAGAGCCATAAAAGTATGTACAGCAGAGAGAGTTGAACTTGGAAACTGGTGTATATTAACTTCATCAACTTTTATTCATATGAAGGAGAAGCGACATCAGTAACTTTTCCTTACAAGCTTGGAGCGATTGCAAACACCCAAAAAGCAGTAAGCATTATGGCTTACAGTTCTTCAAAAGAAGACTGAAATGAAACCCAGGTAAGCTACATGCTTACCTGAAATGAATAACTTTTGAAAGGACTCATATAACATCAATCACAGCAGATCCTCCTAACTACCTTATAATGTAAAGAATATCATGCAGTTTTTTGCTGTACAATATCCCAGCACTTCACAATATTGGCTCTCGACCTTTCGCCAGTAACCATAATTGTGAATGCAGCTTATGCATCATATTTCTTTCCAGTTAAGCCTCTCTTGACCATAGAAATCCCTGTCGGATCTCCTCCCCATTCTTCAAACACAACCATGAAGTTACCGCTTGGTTTCAGCCATGACCGTGGAACATGGTACCTGCCGTAAACGAAAAGTAAAAAGTGTAAACACACTGGCAGTGAAAAATTAGTAAGAAAGAAGGCACTAGAAGTTTTTCTCCTTTTACCATCTTTGTGTAGGCTGTCCACAATTGATGAGACATTTTTTCTCCGCGTAGTAACCACCGTAATAGCAGGTACCACAGTTGCCTTCTGCTTTATATGCAGGCCAGTATCGGCCTATGCTCTGCCCATTGATCCATACCTGGCCTTTCCCCATGCTGATCATGTCTAGCGCCAATGGCTCGTTCCCTTCTGGCGCATCAAAAGTTGTCTGCCAAAAGTTTCATCATCAAAATCTCAGTAAAAGATCCAGCACTGTATCATGTGACGGGTAATTCAGTAAGTTACTCAATTACCTTGTACCACGACAGAGGCTGTTTTTCAGCTAACAGCGTTCCATCTGACCAATCGACGGATGAACTTCCAGTGATCGTATTCAGCTGCAATTTCTCACCTTGCACGCCAACCTTGTAAGACCATTTCCATTTGGTCATGTCAACTGTCCCCTGATTCAATCCCTTCAGTGTGACTGGACCGAGAACACCAACGTTGTAGTTCTCAAAGTGCGGTCCAACATTCTGGTTTAACATGGGAAAAGGTCATGGCACAGCCAAATTGAGTCCAAGTTCTCGAAACAAAAGCTAATTTCCAGAGAGAAGTGAGAAACACTAACCGCAAGACCAACTGAAGCGCTCAGCAATGCAATCTTGTTAACACCAACGTTTAGCTTCACACCCTGGCTGAAAGTCAACTTGGGATTGTCTTTACTGCCATAAGCGCTTCCTATGAGTTTACCATTGACAAAAACATTGACAAAATGGCCAGCTGATTGGACCGTGAGAACCGGGTCATCTCCATTCTTCAGAAATGCCTCGTTGCCTTCTATCTTGATACTGGTCGCAAGAATGGAAGAAGAGAATCAGCAGGATGCTGAGGAAAGAAGCAGCAGAGTTCCATGAGCAAGTGATTGGCTATTTATATACTCACTCTGTCATGTACCAAAGGTAATCCGAAGAATCTTTGGTCAAGTAAACTTGCTCCCACAATCCATCCAGTGTAGTTGTATCACTAGCGAAACCAGAAGCAACTTCGTCGATGTATGAGTTCCATGTAAATCCACCCACAGGCGTCATCTTCCTGTGCACTCGTGGAGCTGAAACCTGTAATTACCAGTTACCACCCAGACAAAAGTTAAAAACAATATTTTTTGCAAGTCCTGTGAATCAATGCTGCAAAGAGTCTCACTTTTCTTCCCTCACCTTTGCAGTGTTGTAAAATTCAGTTTTGCAATCGGGTAGAATGCTGATGGACCATGCTGGGAGATCATACCGACCATTTCCAAAGTCGACCGTGACTGCATAATTCACATCGTAGTTTGCTAGGAATGCAGCACAGCCCCACTTTGAGCTGTATACATGAGCCTGGAAACAGTGATCACATCCAAATTGCAGCATCAAAACAAAAAAGAACACAAAAACTTTATATGTTAACCACAATTAGAGTAGATTGAGGTTTTGCTTACCTCTTGATTTTTCCCGAGTGATCTCACAGTGGCGTCAGCAGAAACCAAAGCAGTTTCAGATTGCTTGATTGCTTTATGCATATGTTTCAGGTGTGTGTATCTCGGCTCATTTGTCAAACCTGAAAAACATCAATCAGACAAGGAAGGATCAGCCTAAGATATGGCTAGTGCCAACAAAGACCTTAGCTGTTACAAGCTAGATGAAGCCCTAAATTATCTCGCATACATGAGTGAGGTATAAGAGGCAGTTAGAAGTTTTAGTATGTGAAGAGGAATGACTACAACTCCATACCATATTCATCAAGAGGGGCGTCATAGTCATAGCTTGTGGTCACAAAGGGTCCACCTGCTGTTCTACCAAAGTTTGTCCCTCCATGGTACTGAGAAATCACACAAATAATCAGCAACGAGGAGACAACGAAGCGAGAACACATCCACCCTAATTTGAAGTTTCAAGTTGAGTAGTTACCATGTAATAATTGGCATAAGAGCCACCACTCTGAATGAACTTGACAATTGAAAATGCCAGATCTTCTGCTGGTCTGTATGCGACTGGGTTTCCCCATGCTGAGAACCTGGGTGGCAAATTTGCATGACATAATTAGATATGAATCAAACCAAAAGTATGTTCCTTTTTATCTTCCTCTTTCACTCGCTACCCGTATGACTTACCAAGCAGTCCAGGCTTCAGTCCACATTTTAGGCTTGTATGGCGCGTTTGGCTTGAAGTTCTCACAGTAAAACGCATTGCAGGTGTTTATCTGAATCCAAATCAGAACCAAACAAAAAGATGGGTACTTTTCAGTCTCTAGCAACAGAAAAGCTCCTTCAACCCGCTCCCACTTTGTGATAACAAAAGGTGGTGGTGTCGTTATTTCAGCGAGAATCTTCTCCATGGCAAAAGAAAACCTCTTAAAAAAATAGACCCATCAACTAAACCACGCACTCACATCACAAGCACCATCGCAACAGAAACGCAAAACCCACAAGAAGGAGATTGATAGCTCAAGTATGGATTGAAAAGAAAAAGGGACTGAAAGATAAAGATGTGCGATTTATGGGCCACCAAACTAGATCCGGCAACTGTTCGACGAAAATTCCCAAAGAAAAAAGTTCGTAAAGCATCTACAACAGCAGCAACAGAAGAAGAAGCAGAAAAAAAAGGAGGAAAGCTAAAGAAACAGTAGACTAACAACAAACTGGCGAAATACCCAGAAAGAGAATTACCACAGGGTCAGGAGCATCCTCTTGCTTGCACATAATCCATGGGACTCCTGTGTCGAGCCCCACTGCCATTTTAGCTGCCCATTGTGCATAGGCTTTCGCCGGCGCCCCGATCTCGTATTCCACCGGGTCCATCTCGTTCTCAATCTGTTATCATACATCACCACAATCACTCAGCTGACGAGCAAACAGTAAAAACAAGAAAAACCCTTACTCCAGATTCTTGATGCAGACTTGGGTTTTGGCAGGCTGACCTTTTCATGAATTTACTGATATTTAAAAGGATGGGTTTTTTAACGAAAAGTTATGACCAATGAGAAAATGGGTTACAGCCAAAAAAGGATGCAGATAAACTTTAGTTTGTCCATATGTCTCGCCTAACCTGGGAAAGAATAATTGGGCCTCCCTGAGGTTCAAAGAGCTGTTCTTGCTTCATCATGTTGACGATCTTCTCTGTGAACTTTTGCATTGCCGCCTTTCATTGAATCCATCGACCCACCCATAGTACAATCCGTCAGCTCTCATTATCAGTAAAAGGAAATTTGACAATCAGGCAAAAAAGAAAGGGCAGCCGACTACCTTGAAGGGTTCATTGTCAGTTCTGAAGGAGATTCCAGGCACATCCTTGAGCCAAACAGGGAGTCCTCTGCATCACCCACAAAACAAAAAAACAGAGCATTTGAAAAAACAGGGGGGAAGGAATTAGCTTTTCGACGAATTTCGAGCAGGGTTTTCCAACATTACCCAAAGTTCCATTCAGCACAAACGTAAGGGCCAATCCGGAGATTAAGGTAGAGACCCGCTTGTTGAACCAGCTTCACGAACTTCACAAGGTCGTACCTGTCGTTGAAGTAATACTTCAACGAAATAACATAGAATTAAAAAACAATCAGTATCAGTTGAATTCAGCTAGAACCCATTAACGGGGCAGAAGAAAGAAGGGAAAGAGAGTACATTTCCAGGGGTGGGTTCGTGCCCATTCCAGAAGACGTAAGTCTGAATCACATCCAATCCTCCATCTTTCGCCTTCTGTATGAGATCAGGCCACATCTGCATTCCCCCAAATTAAAAAGCCCAAAACTTTCAGCTCCTAAATAAGAAGAAATTGAAGACATTGGGTGAGTGAAAGACGGGGAAATTTTCACACCTCAGGAGTGCTTCTGGGATAGTGAATGGAGCCGGAGATGAGAATTCTTCTCTGCCCATTGACGATGATGGCTTTACCATCATAAGTAACAGCAGCTGTGACTGAAGAAACCCAAACCGAAGATGAACAGAGAAGTGCTAGCACTAGTAGCAAAAGAGGCGAGGTATTGTGCCTCAACATTCTGACACACTGAAATAAACTCTCTTCTCCAATCTCTCCTCTCCTCTGCTATTTGTTTATTGTTAAGTTTTTTTTTTTTTTTTTCTGGCTCTATTTCTTTTGGCTGGTGAAGAAGGCAGTGGTGGCCTCCGTTGAAATAAATACAGGGTAAGCTATAAATGCAAGCAGTACTTTGACGAGCTCAATAGGGCATTCATTACTGTTTGCCCTTGAGCTCGAACTTCCAATACACTGAAGAAGAAGAAGAAGAAGAAGAAGAAGAAGAAGAAGGAAAATGCGGAGGAGGGTAGGGTGTGGAGAACTGAGTGAGAGATGAAGGGAAGGGATCCACCATGTTAGCGCTTTTATAGTTTCAATTTCTAGGGGAAGGGTCAGAATGTTAGATAGGGTAGAGCTTTTCTGGTTTAATTTCTGAGCAAATCGGAAGTCTGATTGTGAGTGGGGGCCGGGCTCTTGTTGTTGTGTTGCCTTTGTTGCAAGAAAGGAAGGAACGAAGGGTGCTCTGTTTTTGTCTTGCCTTCACTTCGAATAATCAGCATCAATTTGATTCGTCTTTCTTACAAGGTAATTTAAGCGCATTGCGCAAACTGAGTTTTATCACCTATATTGAGCTAGGGCCTAGGAATGAAGTGAGTGAGGAAGGAGGGCAGAAATTGTAAAAGGAAAAAAAGAAAGAAGTGAAATGTGAGGAAGTGGTTGAATAACATACATGGAGCTTTTCCAACAACTCGAGTTATAGAGATCAGTTGGTTTATGATATGGTATCTGTTACGAGTCCTCGATTACTACTCTTTAGTCCTTGATTGTCCATATTTTATAGTTAGGAGTAAAGATGGTAATTGTCCATCTATTTCATTCGTCCGCCCAAGTAACAGGAAGAAATGTTGGACTCTCTCATATATAGGGGTGGTAAACGGTAATCCGGTAAACGGTTTACCGTTTTACCGAACCGGTAACCGGCGGTAAACGGTAAACCGCTTACCGACGGTATCGGTAGCCGAGCGGGAAGTTGGGGGAGTCAGTTTACCGAAAACGGTATCGGTAAATACCGACGGTAAATCGGTATTACCGATACCGAATCCCCCCTCCCTACTCCCTAGTGTTGCGCTGCGTTTTGTTGCTTTATTATGAAAAATATTACATCATTATTCACAAATATAAAATATTACATACATGAATGTAAGTATAGGCCTCAAAAATATTGTAAATAAGAGTTAATAATAAATTATTAATTACAAAAATGATGAAAAAACTCAAAAAAATCGAAATATTACAACATCACCCCACTTCCAGAGATTCGGTTCGGTAAATATTCGGTAAACCGACCGAAAAAATCGCCCGAAATCGCCTTTCACGGTATTTCGGTAATACCGGTTTGTTACCGTTTACCGGTAATTCGGTAATCGGTAAACCGATTACAAACCGGTATCGGTAATCGGTAACCAGTTTGGCCAACTTCGGTATACCGAAACCGGTAAATTCTTTACCGACCGAATCCCACCCCTACTCATATATATTAATTGTAATCAGTGGCCGAGAACCCTAACTCTCAGAAATCTCTCATAAACCTAATAATATCATCAGCCTGAGAGTGGTTTCACTCTCCGTGGATTAGTCTTGTTCACATCGAACAGGGATACCACGTAAAACTCGTGTGTTCGTTCGATTCCGCATTGTCGATTTCTTCATGGTTTACGCTCGGGATAATCATCATGAGTTTGTCGTATCCAAGGGGATAATGCTCCTGAATTTGCTACTGCAGAGTTAGTCAATTATTATGAAGCAGAAGGGATAGTTCTTCAGACTTCCTGCACTGATACACCACAGCAGAACGGTGTTGTCGAGAGGAAACATCGTCATTTGCTCGACACTGCGCGAGCTCTTCGTTTTCATGCTAATCTACCTCTCCGATTCTGGGGAGAGTGCGTGTTAACCGCAGCATATCTCATTAATCGCATGCCTCTGGTCACTGTCGGCAATCGCACTCCCTATCATATTTTGTTTGATAAGGATTCGTCTTACTCTCATCTACGTAGTTTTGGCTGCATTGTTTACGCTCGGGATAATCATCATGGTGTATTTCTGGGTTATCCCGCGACTCAGCGAGGATATCGGGTTTATGACTTAGAGCATAAACACATATATACGTCACGCGACGTTCACTTTCTTGAGCATATTTTTCCTTATTGGACTGAGCTTACTCCCACTCAAGTGGTTGCTCGCCAAACTCACCCTCACTTCCCACCATATCTTCATGATATAGATGATGACTTACCTTCATTTACAGACGTCCCTTTTGGAGGACATGACACGTTAGCCCATACATCACCTCCTTCCAATTCGCCCTCACCTGAGGAGGCTTCTTCGTCCTCGCCTTCCTCGCCTGAGGCCATTTCATCTCCCGCGGCTGAGCAGACTCCACCGACAGTGACGACTCCAGCTGATTCCGCTCCTTCCGATCAGCCTCCTGCACCAGTTGTTCGCAAGAGTTCACGGGTCAGTCATCCTCCTGCCCGTCTTCAAGGTTTCGAATACCATATTCCAGGTCACCCCCAGCCTTCCCCTCCCTCGGCCAACATTGTGACCTATCCACTGGAAACTTGTGTGCATAATCATCGGTTGTCCAAGGCATATCAAGTTTTTGTGGGTGTTGTCACCCTTATGAAGGAACCTCAATTTTTTCATCAGGTCATAAGTTATCAACATTGGCGAAATGCCAAGATTACCGAAATCAAAGCTCAGGAAGCTAATGGTACCTGGACACTCGAGTATCTACCTCCTGGTATGCGTGCTATCGACTGTAAGTGGGTTTATAAAATCAAGTTCAAAACCGATGGCTCTATTTAGCGGTTTAAAGCTCGTCTCGTTGCTAAAGACTACACCCAGATAGAAGGGATTGATTATCATGATACGTTTGCCCCTGTCGCCAAACTAGTCACTGTCCGTTGTTTACTAGCGGTGGCAGCTATCAAAGGGTGGCACATTCATCAATTGGATGTGAATAATGCCTTTCTGCACGGCGATTTATCGGAGGAAATCTACATGAAAGTTTCTCAAGGTTTTTCCAAACCCGGTGACACTCGGGTTTGCCGATTGCGCAAATCCATCTATGGTTTACGTCAGGCTTCCCGCAATTGGTATAAAAAATTTACTCAGGCATTACAGGAGTTACAGTTTGTTCCTAGTCGTGCCGATCATTCACTTTTCATCTATCGTCGGGGATCTGTGTTTGTGGTAGCTCTTATATATGTCGACGATGTCATCCTTGCTGGTACAGATCTTTCCTTCATTCAACATGTTAAAGACTTTCTCCATGAGCGATTTACCATTAAGGACCTGGGCATTCTTAAGTACTTTTTGGGTATCGAAGTTGCTCGGTCACCATCCGGTATTGTTCTCAACCAGCGTAAATATGTTCTTGATATTTTGGCAGACTCTAATCTTCAGGCTACGCGTCCCAGTTTCACTCCTATCGAGCAGAATCATCAGCTGGGTCGTTCTCCCTCCGATCCTGCTTCCGATCCTGCAGCTTATCGTCGAATGGTTGGTCGCTTACTGTATCTCACAGTCACTCGTCCCGACATTACCTATGCGGTTACCATACTCAGCCAGGCTGTTCATGCACCGACTCAGGCTCATGTTGATGCTGCATTCCGTGTTCTCCATTATCTCAAGTCCGCACCGGGGCGTGGTTTGTTCTTTTCATCCTCGGGTTCTCTCACCTTGATAGCTTATTGTGATGCCGACTGGGGCGGTTGCCCGAATACTCAGCGCTCGACCGCTAGTTATTTCATCACCCTGAGGTCTTCTCCTGTCTCCTGGCGTACCAAGAAGCAATATGTTGTTGCTTGGTCTTCTACAGAGGCTGAGTATCGTTCTATGGCTACTACAGTTAGTGAGATCATCTGGCTTCGTTGGCTCCTTCGTGACTTTGGGGTTCAGCTGGCTGTTCCTACTCCCCTCTTTTGTGACAATCAGGCTGCTCTCCATATTGCTGCCAATCCGGTGTTTCATGAACGCCCCAAGCATGTGGAGATGGACTGTTACTTCGTGCGTGAGCGCGTTCTCTCCCGTGACATCTCCCCCTTCAAGATTGCCACTTCTGAGCAACCCGCGGATCTATTCACAAAAGGGTTGAGTGTGGACCAGTTTCATCATCTCCGTGTGAAGCTCGGAATGATCGACATTCACTCCTTCGCTTGAGGGGTCATGTTACGAGTGTTACGAGTCCTCGATTACTACTCTTTAGTCCTTGATTGTCCATATTAGATAGTTAGGAGTAAAGATGGTAATTATCCATCTATTTCATTCGTCCGCCCAAGTAACAGGAAGAAAGGTTGGACTCTCTCATATATATTTATTGTAATCAGTGGCCGAGAACCCTAACTCTCAGAAATCTCTCATAAACCTAATAATATCATCAGCCTGAGAGTGGTTTCACTCTCCGTGGATTAGTCCTGTTCACATCGAACAGGGATACCACGTAAAATTCGTGTATTCGTTCGATTCCGCATTGTCGATTTCTTTAGTATCAGAGCTGGTTTGTCATTGAGTTCACTACTTTACATGAAAAAAGCGAAAATTGGTTTATGATTTATGAGGGTCTGTTTATATGGATTGGTCAGGTGCACCGTTAACTATCGCCTCTGATTTCCACCTCCAACAAGAACACTAGTAAGCAATCTACCCGAAATGAGAGGAGAAAGAAGGAAACACCAGGGATGGGTACATTTAGAAAGAAGAAGAATTGAGAAGGACAATATTGTATTTTGGTTTTGTCGCGTTGACAACCATGTTTCAATTCCAAACAAGAGATATGACTTAAATACATTAAAAAAAAATTAAATGAGAATTTTAAACTAAAATCCCTTATTAATAAATTCTCCATTCAAACGCTTTATGTCTAAAAATCCTACAAAATATTATACACCATAAATTCCTCGTTACTTTTTGAAATTGTTTGGTGACACAAAATATCACACACCACGGTACCACATTGCTTTCCCTCCCCCATCTCCCCATCCTTTGTTTCTTTTCCAATCATGTTCGAGATTTCCTTTCTTTTCCAATTTCACTTCAAATTTGGTGCACGCTAGCAATCTCGTGCACTCTTCGAATTCTCTTTTTATGTGAATTTTGTTAAAAGTAAATTTCACTATGTGAGTAGCAATTCAATTGATTTAATTTGAACATGTAAAGAAATTACTGATAGAGTTACGTACTTCGAGCCCAACAAATTTCTTTTTAAAATAATTTAATAATATGTCTAACCATAATATTTTTGACACTCATGGAACTGTTGTGTATGATGGGATGGCTACACAAAACTAAACGATATTAAGATAGTTTAGTAACGATATAAAATAGGAGCGTGTCTTGTGAGTTATGTTGGTACATGAGCCAGACAGCCACTA